AAATGCATAAAGCAATATTTATCTGCAAACCATCCAGATTTCTATTATCAATTCCCAGTTAAATAATATTACGATTTCATAATGTTATGTGTAATATATTATTTGTGTGCGATTAATTTGTAGCCTTGCTAAACGTTGCTGCTCACAATGTGACTTCTTCTAGAAAACATTTAATAAACTTGTTACCGCAGAGAGAAACACAATTATTTTTACATGAATACATCAAGTTTTCGACATTTTTAAACTAATATAAATTGTTATTATTAATAAAAAAATAGTTTCGACATAAAAATAATATTATAACAAAATATTCTTGTACTAAATATAAAGGTAATTGTTCATGCACATTTTCATGTAATTACTTGCGGCGCCCTCTTTACTTGTGATTGGTTGTTAGCCAGCGTGAGCTGCGCGAGGAGCGAAGGAGCCAAGATGGCGAATAAAGATTCTCAAAGGCAAGACGTGTTTTGTGTGCTCTCGTTATTTATCACAAAAAGTAAAACCCAGCATCATTCCACATTAACATAAAACATTGATCCTTCGAGCCAGATGTGCTTGGGAGTCGATATACATCAAGAACAAGACTCAAGAGTGGCAGACGGAATTAGGAAAGATACGAGCGGTCATTGGGACGGCACTCGACGGAACGTCGAATCGTGCTTGCAGGCAAGCGAGCAGAATCATCGGTGCAAGGCAGTTTGGGCCTTTGCAAAACTTGACTTCATTCTGTCTTGAGTAAGCATCTGCCGTGAGAGCATCAAAGCAATAGCGATAACAGTGGTTAGCGCTATTCAGTAACGTATAGACGAAGAGCGCGGCATTAACGGTTCGGCCGCCATTGTGCACATCGAGCCATCCACGCATCACGTTACTGCGACACAAGCGTATCGTCGATCGTAAATTGGCAACGGTCAACGGCACAATCAAACGCTGACGATCACAAGGAAAATCAACAAGGCATTTGGGACACCCGCATATAATCAGGCGGGCGTGAATTCGAGCGAGAAGAGTTCGAGGTAGCAACGATCGGGCCTGCGCAGTCGACGTCACTAGTTGGGCCGTGGACACAACGATCGAGCCTGCGCAGTCGACATCACTAGTTGGGCCGTGGACGCAACCAGCGTGGATCGAGACGGCGAGCGGCTAATCAGCATTAAGCAGCACTGTCCAGTGCAGACAAACGGGCCGGTGGGTCTTAATCAAGTAAGAAAGTAAACAATCCGTTTACACTCTTTAGCATCCTTGTACGTTTCTATCTGTGTTCGAGGCAATCATGGAGGTCTTAATTAAATCTCGAGATGTAGTAAAGGGTAAAATTACTTCCTTTAAAACTTATCTCGCGAAAACGCTTGCAACATTTTCGGATCCGTCTACGCCAGTAGACGATATAACAGCGTTAGACATTCGCGAGCGTGTTTATCGAGCGAGGGAAGCATACGAAAAATTTGAGCAGATTCAATCGAGCATTGAGGAGTTAACGGATAAAGACCAGGAAGCGGCGGAATATCGCGCGAATTTTGAAGAAGAATACTTTAGCGCTATTGCGCAAGCGGAGGCTTTACATTTGCGTAGTACGATAAACGTGCACACCGATGCGTCGCGTTCGAGTGCTGAAATTAATGGGGCTTCTTCTACGCACACGCCTGTAGTGAGGGCGACGAATAGTCAAGGCGCGAGTAATTCTGTCCCGGGTATCGCAACACAGTCAATCATATATAAACTTCCGGGCATCAGGTTGCCAACAATCGAATTGCCGAAGTTCAGTGGTGAAGCATCTGAATGGCTTACTTTCTGTGATACTTTCGAGTCGTTGATACATAGAAACGATACAATTGATCCGATACAGAAATTTCACTACTTGGAGGCAGCACTACAGGAAGGTGCAGCACAAATTATTAAGTCTCTTGAATTTACCGCGGTTAACTACACTGTGGCATGGAAAACTATTTGTAATCGATTCAATAACAAACGATTGCTTACACACAATCATATTAAAGCCATATTTAATATCAATTCGATAAAGGAAGAATCGGCAGCTCAGATTCGCGAGACGGTCGATATGCTTAGCAAACATTTGCGTGCTTTAAATGCGTTAGATCAAGCGACAGAACACTGGGATGCTTTATTAATTTACTTAGTATCAACAAAATTAGACAGTGTAACGACTCGGGCCTGGGAAAAGGAGCGTGCTGGAAATGAGATTCCCACGCTGGATGATTTCAAAACGTTCTTGAATTCGCGTGCAGATCTGTTAGAGACGCTCGAATTAAACAACAAGTCGTTCGGCAAAGTAGAATCTAAATCGAAACAATTGGACCGGTTAAAGGTTAAAGCACTTCTCGTGCAAAATCAAAGGTGTAGTATGTGTAAGGAAGCACATAAGTTATCAACTTCCAAAAGATTTCTCGATCTCACTCCTCAGGAGAGAGCAAGTCATTTGAGAGACGCTAAATTATGCCTCAACTGCATGAGACCGGGATATTTTATCAAAGGTTGTAAAGCAAGTTCATGTAAGCAGTGTTCAGGGAAACATAACACCCTGTTACATTTTAAAAGGGCATCTTCAGCGCAGGTATCGCCCGTTAAGGAAGCTAAAACTGCTTCAGTCTTGTGTTCACATAATCAGTGCAATACACATAGTGTTCTGTTAGCTACAGCATCAGTTGTGGCAACGGATAATCATGGAAAGGGGCATAAGGCTCGTGCAATTTTGGATCCTGGTTCCCAATCCAGTTTCATGACCGCTAGACTCTGTAGAGAGTTAGGGTAGAGAGTTTGCCTACATCAAGGATTCACATGACCATTGAAGCCATCAACGGGAAATCATCCCAAATAGAACATAAATGTAGCGTCAAATTGGCAGCACAGTACAATAACTTTCAGTTTGACATTCAGTGCTTGGTAATCCCGGAAATCACAGAGCAATTACCATCTCAACACATTGATATACAAGATTTGCAAATTCCTACTAACATTAGACTCGCTGATTCTTCATTTCACATTCCAGGCAATATCAATATTCTTATTGGAGCTGACTATTTTTGGAGCCTACTTTGCATAGGGCAGTTGAAAGTGGGCGAAGGTCGGCTTACCATGCAAAAAACTAAACTGGGTTGGATAGCAGTTGGTCCATGGAGAGGTACCTTCTCGAAGTCTATTAAATGCAATCTTAGCAGAGCAGTCGATATTGATAAGAGTCTCACGAAATTTTAGGAAATTGAGGAAATTGAAAGCGAAAGGGCATGGTCCGAGAAGGAGAAAGATTGTGAAAGGCACTTCTTGGAAAATACATATCGCAACACAGATGGTAGAGCATTCCGTTCAAGGAGGATGTTAGCAGACTTGGTGAATTCAAATCAATCGCTCTTAAACGTTTTTTCAGTCTCGAGAGGAAATTAATAAGTAACCCTACTCTCAAAGATCAATACGTTGCTTTTCTAGCAGAATACGAAAAATTAGGGCACATGCGCAAGATATCTGAGGAGGCAACACACATTACTTTGTATTACCTACCACATCACTGTGTCGTCAAGAATGATAGTTCGACCACAAAGGTACGTGTAGTTTTTGATGTGTCAGCCGCAACAGACAATGGTATATCTCTCAATGACTTACAAATGGTAGGTCCTACAATTCAAGATGACTTATTCGCATTGCTAGTCAGGTTTAGAGTTCATCCTTACGTTATATCAGCAGACGTACAAAAAATGTACAGGTAGGTGTTAGTCAATCCAAATCAGCGTTCTCTACAGAGAATCATATGGCGTTTTAACGATAAGGATCCTATACAAGTCTTCGAGCTAAACACGCTCACATATGGTACGGCATCAGCGCCATTCTTAGCAACAAGGTGCTTGAAGGAACTAGCCAATCAGGTCTAAAATCGCTTGCCAAAAATAGCCGGAATTATTCGAAAGGATTTTTATGTTGATGATATGTTGACAGGGGCACAAACGATCGAACAAGCCATTGAAATACGACAAAGCATCTCGCAGGTCTAGAGTCAGCAGGTTTCTCATTGCGGAAATGGGCTTCGAATGAGCATGCCATAATCCACCGTGTTCCGAAGGAGGATCAAAATCTAGATAGTATCAATTTTACTAATGACGGCATGACTAAAACATTAGGTACAACATGGCAAGCGCTTTCTGACAGTCTAACATTTACGATCAAAGAGTTAAGTCAAACTAAGGTTACAAAAAGGCAGATCTTAGCGGAGACTGCACAGATATTTGACCCATTAGGTCTCATTAGTCCATGTATCATTATAGCGAAAATCCTTCTGCAAGAATTATGGTTGCATAAGTTGTCATGGGACGAATCACTTCCCCTTGATTTACATAATAAATGGTTATCCTTTCGTCAACAAGTTCGAAACTTAGGTCAAATCAGAATACCTCGAAACGTCATAAGCGAAGATTATATAGAAGTGCAACTGCATGGTTTCGCAGACGCGTCACAAAAGGCATATGGCACATGCATCTATTTACGGTCTCAAGATTCTGAAGGAAATATTCATACAGCATTATTGTGCGCAAAGAGTAGGGTGGCTCCCCTTAAGCAACAAACAATTCCGCGTTTAGAGCTTTGTGCAGCTCTCACTCTCGCGCGTTTGGTCGCCAAGGTCATTGAATCTCTGGAAGTAGTTTTTGATAAAATTGTTTGTTGGAGCGACTTATCAATAGTTCTCAACTGGTTAAGGATGCAGCCGAATGCGTTACAAGTATTTGTAATGCATTCGGTGTATGCGGCAAACCGCATAGCACAAATACAACATCTAACAGGTTCGCGTGAGTGGCGACACGTTCCTACTATAGACAATCCATCGGACTGTCTTTCACGTGGTCTATCAGTAGATAAACTAATACGCTCAGAACTTTGGTGGTATGGTCCGTCGTTTTTAGTAAAAAATGAGACTGAATGACCTGCATTGGCCACAACAGAAGTTGAGTTACCTGACGTAAAGGGAGCGTGCTGCGCAGTTACAGAACAGACAGCAGGATCGTCCATATTCGGAAATATCTCAAGTGCAAAACGCATTATTCGTGTGATAGCCTATTGTAAACGTTTTTCGTATAATTGTAAGCACAAAATGGAGCGGAAAGTAAACGCGCTTTCAGCAATAGAAATAAGAGAAGCGTTAAAGGCAT